ATAATACGACCGTCTTATTTTTTTTTGGTACAAATGACACCAGTGTACAGTTTTCATCAAAAACAAATAAAGATGAATTGACCAATTTTTCCTTAGCTTCCACCAATTGTTTTGGTATATCAGTTTTGTTTTTCCTCATGGTCCCAACCAATGTTATTTTTTTTTCTAGCAGTTTCTCTGCAAGTTCGTAAGAAGTAAATGAATTTCTTTGGTAAGATCTAGAACATATTGTGTCGGAATAGAGTATGGACTGTGTCTTTCTTCTTTTCCTATATATGGCTTGGCAGAGCACATGTAATATGTTTTTGCATCGCACATGCTAACCACTTTCAAACCATACTTGTCAGGTTTGCTAGGAATGTACATTTTGAAAGGACAACGTCCTCTAAATCCCAAAAGCGTCTCATCGACGGTTACATATTCTGATGGGGTGTAATTTTTTCTACAACCTCTTTCAAATATCTCCCAAATTTCTCTAACGGCAGCAAATTTATCTGACTTTTTTCGTTCCTCTCGCGTTTCTTTCTCATCAAATCTCAAACAGTTGATAATAAATTCGAAACGATTTTTATTCATAGTGCTTCTAAACATTACTGGTCCAAATACTGGGGACCATAAATCATTGAGTGTTACATGAGGATTCTTCAAAACACCACTCAAATACAAGAGTCCGAATAAGGCATTTATTTCCACAGGAGTCGTTGGTCCAATGTACCACTGTTTAGATTTATATTTTACGTTTTTACGTTCGATTTCATCGTTGGTACATTTGACAATTTTATCCAAAATAACGTCTGAAAAAAAAAGATTCCATATTCGTTTCGGTTCTACAACACCTCTAGCGTCTCCTTTTGGCCCTGGTAAGTGAGTGACTAAATTTTTTTGACGAGTTCTACTGTTTATAGCATGTAGGCTATCCAAATACCATTTACGTGTATTTTTAGAATACATCACCCTTCGTGCATGGACAGTTGGGTCTGCTAGCATAGGAGAATCATCATCATCATCGCTAGGAACGGATGTTTCAGATTTGTCATCTTCATATTCAGTGAAATTCCCTTGTTCACTTTCGTCGCTCTCCACAATGTCAGAATCGTTCGGGTCTTCATCTATTAATCTATTAATTCTTGGGGTTTTAGAGGTCTTTTTCTGGATAAATTACAAGAACTGGTTCCTGGCTCGTCTAATTTAGGTCTTTTTGGTTCCATTACAATAGTATACGAAATGTTCTAAATAGAGAAAATGCTGCAGTTAAATATAAATTTAATAAAAAGTAACTCAACTTACCCTAGCGATTTTTATACCATAAAGCACAAGGTGGCGTCATATACGACCTTCTCACGATAACTCAAAACTGGCAAAATTGAACACACTTTCTCGTGCGGCATCTACAAGACAACTGAAAGCAAGGAAGATCATAGATAAACTAATAAAGAAGATGGTCGGATTCTGTGTTAATCTTTGGAAACGTAGTGCTGCGAATTAGTATGGAACGGATCTTTTTTGAACTACACTGGCTGATTGATTTGTCAGTAAGAGGCATAAAAAAAAGAAGAGCGTTAACGTAACCGCGGTTCATTCAAATATCCTTTATTTATTTATATTTTTTGGGGTTCATTACTTTAAAAAGAAAAACTAATATTTATATTAAAATATTGTATTTAACATATATATTAGTTTTTTTTAGTTATAAAACCCCAAAAAATGTATACAAAAATGTAGACAAAAAATATTTACACTGAAATAAAATATAAGACAAATATATTTAAATTATTTATTATACAGTAATACATACATAATGTGATAATAAAGAACAATTGTAAGTGAAATGAATACTAGTTTCCCCACATTCTTGTAAAAATGGACCATACTTTGATGGGCGTCAGGTGTTTCCTATAAAAACAAAACAAAAAGTGTACATATATGTTATTGAACAATTTCTCTTATCAAAATGTTAACCATTTTTATAAAACTAAGTTATTTTTAATTATTTGACGAAGATTGAGAACGACGCAGTACGTGGAGTGTTCAATCATCTGAGTGCGATAAGGACAATCCACTCTAGTTGTACAGTATATTTTTTCTACGACCCTCTAACGAAAATTTACAATTTTTTAAAATTATTTTGGGTAACTAAGATAAAATCTCCAATTTAAAAATAATTTATGACTTACTAATTTATTTCCATAATTAATTTCAATAACTAAAAAATATACTGACAATTAGTTTGACAAAATTGTGACATTTAAAATTTAAAAAATTAATAATAGCCCAGTGAACAAATAATGAACTGTGACTGGTGGATTTCATATCCATGCAGTGTTCTTACTAGGTAGAATGGATATATGACTTGAACCCAATGGCTTACTTTTTCATTTTGTAGTCTGTGAGTAGAATAGCTATATCCATGTGGGTGTGGAAAAAAACTATTTCTGTTTATTCCTCATAATGCAATAGTCCATTTGAATTGTTTTAACTTTAAATTAACAAATCTAATTGGTTTAATAAATCTGATTAAAAATTGTTATTCAAAATATTAAGTATAATTTTATTTTCTGCACATAAATGTGTTGCATTATATGTATAATAAATTCAGGATTGATATTAATAGGACCTTTCATTTTTAACAGATGAGAAAAGGATATCCCTTAAATTCTGTTATCAATTAATCATTAAGGCATTTTTCTAACAATTTCTTTAAATCTGGAAAACACTGAATCATTTATCCCCGTTTCAAAAGGTAAATCACTTAAAATTTGTTGGATAGTAGATTTACTAGGCAACGAAATGCATTTTCTTAAAAAATTATATGCTTTTGGACCATTTTTATATAATGCTAAAGAAAAATTTTTATTCTGAGTGGTCCAAGAGGGTTTCTTTCTCTTACAATTTTCTAAACTACTTTTAAAGAATTTAATTCCAATCGGATCTAATTTATTATTAAAATCTGAAAATAACTGAGTTTTGGATAATTCAAAGGCTTTCTTGATTTTATTTTTGGAAACACGTAGAGCTTTCTTTAGCTTACAAATTCTAACGTTTTGTTCTCTATTAATAAAATACAGCTTTTTCTCTTTGGGACTTAAATTTTTGACTTTACTTTCATTTATTTGTTGCAAAACAGTTTTTCTCCGTTTGGAGGGTTGTTCAAATTGTACATCACTAATATTTAGTTTACGTTTGCAACTAATTTCTTGATTTTCATTGCTGATTAGCAAATCTATCTTATGCTGCTGTGTTTGTGCTTCAGCCTCAATATATTCTGAAATCTGACTCACAGGTTGTATATTTGAACTGGATGCATAATTATCTAAAGAAATTGGTACAGAATGTACAACTAGTCGTTTACGTTTTGAGGAAACCTTACTAAAAGACTCTGGCAAAAAATGATCTTCACAAAGATAGCGAGTATTATTATCTAAAGTTAAATTTAAATTCTTAAACCAGTTCTGGCGAACTTTAACATCAGAAGGAAAATGAAAAAATGCTTTATTTGAATAACCAACTTGCTGAATATTAGAATAATACTTATTTAAACAATTAGGAGCTGAACAAGAATACGTAACTATACCCGGGCCAGACATTTTTGCTTCAAATATTAGAAAAGGAATTGTTGAAATATGATATGAAATTAGATACCTATAGATATATAGGTTAACGATAGTTAAGGCTAAGAAAACAATGATAAACAAAGTCCTTAAATACTTAATATTAAATTAAAGTTAATACTTACTAATTACATCAAATCAGCACCGTTTGTTTCTTAACCTAAAAATAACTTACCTACCTATGTAACTTACATCATAAAATAAAAATAAGTTTTATTTTATCATCATATCCCGCCTTCCGCCATCACGTTTTTCATTTTTTACAAGGTTGTCAATCCCGTCTTTTAAAAATCTCAGCAATTGTATGGACATTGTATGGATGGTATGGTGCGCATGTAGATTGATAAAAAATTAAAATAAAATGAATTTGAAATAACTATCATCTCATGAAAGTTTATGGAAACCGGCAACATCGCTTTCATACTATTGCGATGGTGGCGCTAACTAATAGTATGCTGGGAACTACGCCGTGTTGACAGTGGCGGGCATTTAATAAATTCATCTTGTTTTATATTAATTTATCTATGAGGAAGGTACTGAGCCGCATCGCCACGAAATCCGAGGAACGTCGTAGTAATCACGAGTTGGATAACGCTCGGTGTAGCCGTTGACTCCACCTTGTGGTTCTAGGGTTAAATAAATAAAACTATCATGGAGAAATGTGGTAAATGCACTCTATCATCGATTAGGGTACTGTCAACTCACAGATGAAGCACACTTGATGAAGTAACCATTATGTTAAAAATGGTGTAATCTTTCAATTGTTACGTTTTAATGTAGTTGAAAATAGTTTGTATTAAAAAATTTATTTAAATTAGGCGTTGCCAGACTTCTGTTTTATTTATTTAAGACCTTCTAGACTACATAAAATCATAAGTGTTACATACGGTTGAACTCGTATTGAATAGGAGATTACAATAATGACTTAATATACAGGGTGATCAATTTGAAAAACCAAAGTGACTAATAATATAAGATAAACGGAAAATCTGGCAACACTGCAAATATCAAATCTGGAATCTCCTTATCCCAAAATAGGTGTACCCCAAATTTTGTACAATTAGGACTAGCAATTTACGAGATAATTGGCCGTTTCCAGACTTTTGGGCCACTCTGTACATATAATAAAGTGTTTGTAAAATTTTTGTTATACAATTATACATCGAATTTTAGATCACGATGCGATACGCTACTGACAAAGTTTGCCGCATAACGTGGCACGTAGAAAAACTGGCATAACAGAAATTATACGCCTACTATGCGCCTACTAATACTAATCCGACCGTTTCTACAACACGACCGAACGAAACCGATTCGCAACGAATTGCAGCGCAACGCAACGTTCAACCGTTCAACTGGGGAAGCCGGGACCGGAGACAGTTTCAAAGCGAAATCATGGCGGTGATGTCAGAACACGAGTTTTGTATCAAACTTGTAAGAGCTATAGAAAAGTATGATTGTTTGTACAACAATAAAGTACCGGAATATACAAGAAAAGATATTGTCGAACAAACGTGGAACGAAGTCGCTTTCGAAGTCAATGTAGATGGTGAGTGTAGTTGGGGTTTGGGTCGTAGGTATTATGATGTATTTATTTAGATAGGCGCTTATAGTGGATTTGTACGTGCTGTAGAATATAATGAATGTTTTACGTTGCGCACCGTTACGACTGATTGTGTCATCAGCGGCGGGCTTCAACGTAAAATAAGAGGGAGCACAATGAAAATCGAAATGTATAAAATTAATTAAAAACATTTTTATTGTGTATTAAACCTTTTAATAATGAATTCTTGCTTCGTCGAAAACTTGAAATTTAATTATTAAAATTTAAATGAGTTATTATTATCGTATACGAGAGTAGTTGAAAATGGGCTTTCTTATACGTTAATAAATAAAAAAATACGAAAGACGTTATATTTGACAGTATTTCAAAAGTACCAAGGATATAATTTATTTGAAAAGGAATACAGGATGGTCACTTTTTAATTGAAAAGTATCTCGTAAACCGTTGGTAACACAAAGTTGCTTAAATGGGGAAAAAGTTGCATACTTCTAAGCCCAATCTGAGGACGTTAAAAACCAAAATATTTGGATCGTTTTTGAAATATTCTATTTTTTAATCCCTTTATTACGTTTATTTTCAAAAATAGACAAAAACTCATTCTAAGATTTTATATTTTATATCAAGCTGCATATGATATGTATACAATTTTTTATTCAACGTTTCGTTAATGCAGAACTACCATTAACTTCTTTATTTGAATATGGACCAGTGTTATTCCGACAGATCATTTTAACACAAGTTAAGTGCTGAATACAATTATGAAACACTATATTGTAATTAGTCAATATTTCGGAAGATTTTAATGTACTCTGGTAAATTTACTAGTACGGACCTGTTTTATTTTTGTTAGTTAAAAATGTTTAGTAAATGATGGATTATCGGTTGTAGAAATTATAAATATTAAATATCAATGGCTAAATTTTATTCTTTGGTTGAAGTCTGTACAGTACATGTTTAAATTGCATGGGTGAAAAAATATTTTCACAGTATTTGCAGCAATTCGTATTGTAATTCTGAATGACGTGCGGGCTCGTAATTTTTTTTTTTTTCGTTTTTACCCTTTTGCAATACAATACAAATGCAAATAAAGTACGTTCTAATTTTTAAACAATTAAAATTAAATCAAGTGGCGCCATGATTGGAAATTTAAAAGTGTGTAAAAGTTATAGCCTGGTGATTACAATCGTAGACTAAAATTTTGTTTGGATTAGTAAATAAATACTGTATTGTCGGTTTTATAAATTTCTACTTTATTAGTGCTTTTATTTGTATCATAAAAATTTCCAACGGCAGTTGTAATCTTCAAAATAAATAAAATACAAACATGTAATAGTATATTACATAACGAGCGGGGAAGTACTCTATGGCAGACGAGCCTCAAGGTACAGACGCGAGGCTAGAATGAGTTCCCTGAAGTATGTATACGATTTTACTCACAATCTACTACTTTGTATAAGTTTCAAATAATAAAAGCATTGTTTGTGGAGTCTGTCGCCGACAAGTCCACGACAGATGAGCACGCGCAATATGATTTCAGGTGTTCGCGGAGCCAAAAATTAGGGTTTTGACAAAGTATCCAGCATTCGCGGTGCACTTGTCACTAGTACACAACAAGTTACCAACAAAGGAACGGAACAGAGAGGAATGGTTGATTAAGTTTTTAATCAATCCGACTATTCCAATACTAAAAATTGAATGTTTGACCTATTAAAAAATTAAACAACAATAAAAAAAAAATAAATGAAATCTTTCTGATATCTATTCTGAAAACTATCTTCACAATCTACAGTCTTTTGACTCATTTTTTATTTGCAGTTAAAGTGTATGAGAGTCATTTTGGTACACAAGTCGTTCGCGGTGATCTCTTGTCAGGGATATGTTACAAATCATAGTTGCGCACAAACGTTTCTTATTATTTATCAGTGACTAGTCGTGTACTTGTCGGCTCCGGGAACAAACCTATTATTGGTGTTATTTTTCTAAAATAATTTTATAATTTTTAACAAAGATACCTGATGTGAGACCCTTGCTAGGTGATATAACAAGTTGATTGAATCTGACAGATAATTAATTTTCAATTATAGTACGAGTATATTATAAGGATCAAAGTGCACTTTTAGTCTTATGATATGTACAATAGGATGGGCCCAAAAAACTAAAGTTAAAATTTTAATTTGCTATAGCATTTAAAAGCTGCGTTTCAATATAAAAATTATATTTTCAGTCCTCTACCAGCCCCCAAAATAACTAAAAATAAAATAAAATTAAATGTAAAATTTTAATTAGCTATACCCACTGGGGAGGCTGTGTTTAATTAAGCCTATACACAAATTTTAGAAATACGTTTTAAGCCCTCTGCGACCCCCTTAGAAAATGTATGTAGATAAAGAAATTTACTTTCGTTATGACAAAATTGAAATCCCGATTTTTAGTAGAATTGTAACCCAACTGTTTTCCTCTATAAAAGCGCCCTTTTAACATCCCACTCCCGCCTTTACACAAAAATAGTACTTACAGTCTGTTCGCTATAATTACGCGGGTTTCGGATTAACAAAATTATGCAAATTAGTCATTGACAACCAGTTCCAATAAGCCGCTTCCCAAGAAATTAGGTAAAATTGCCCTAATGGTCAGATTTAAATTAAAATAACATTAGGGTAGGTACTAAATTTGTTACAAATATTGCAGTTGAATTGATTCTTTGCAAGTGTTGACATTGTATTTATATTGGAAATTTTAAAAATGCCTAGACGTGTGTTAGATGTAGATAGTCTAATTTGTAGTGTACATAAGTATTTTACGGATGAAAAAGAAATGGCCTTCCTTTAAAATCGATAATGCTGTACAACAACGCGTATGCGATGCTCTAAAAATTAGTGAAACCAAATTAAGAGGAGTATTAGAAAATCACAATAGTGAACTGCCAAAAGAAGATCACCGCAAAACTCGCCCATCATTGAAAACGAAAGATATTCCAGATGGAAAGAAATTTGAAATTCGTGATACCATTTATAGAATGAGGGCCAACAAAGAACATGTGATCTTAAATACAATTCTCTGAATTAATAGATAGAAAATTTGACGACATTGGCAGAACAAGTCTATGGCAAGTGATACATAACTTGGGTTTCAAATTTCAAAAGGAGGATAACAGAAAGGCCCTTTGTGAAAGAAGTTCTGTCGTGCACAAGAGAATTAACTTTCTAAGAAAATATTCTAAATTTAAAGAAGAAGGGACGAATTTTATATATTTAGACGAAACATGGATATTTTCTAGGGGTGCAACCAAGAGAATATGGCAAGATGATAACGTAAAGTCCATCAAACTACCGATGGAGAAGGGACGCGACACATAATTTTACACGCAGGAGGGAAATCGGGTTTTATAGAAGGTGCTGATTTAATATTTATAATTTTAACACCGTTTATGTATTTTAAATCCGATACTATGACCAGCTTTCGAGATACATGGCGTTAAAGAGGAGAATTGTTGAATTTAGTTTATTTTGGAAAAACTACCGTCATACATTTGTGAATCACCCTGTAACTAAAAATATTTTTAATTATACGTATGTACTATGAAGACTAGAGATAAGGAGGCGAATCGGCCTTGGTCAAATTTAAAATTTCCGTCCCTATTTTTATGGAGTTCCAAAAAACTACTGTAGTTGGCGGGTGGCAAAATAACGACGTCTATTTTCTATGCAAGTCAATGTGAATTAAAGTAATTTTTGTAAAATTTCGTGAAAAGAATGAAAATAAGCTGAAATAAAGAACCTGACTACAAGTAACAATGAGTAACAAAAAACGACAAAGCAGGATTTGCTTCGTTCCGGGTTGCAAAACGGGATATAAATCCGATATAAAATTAAAGAAATCACAAGGACATAAAAATCCAAGTCTTTTTAAAGCTCCTAATGTAAGTAAAATAATGTATTTATTTCTAAATAATATATAGTTATTGTAAAATAATCACAACCCGTATCTTACGGAGTATAGTTTATTTAATTACAAAATTCTATAATAAAAAATAATAAAGTCATAAATCCTGACTTACAAACAACAATAATTACATATTAAATTTACCTTAATACTAGAAAAGAAAATTTGCGTTTTTTATGTTTTTTGATGTTAGATGAAGAGTTACTACTGTTATTTTTCTTTATTCAACTCTAATTTAGCCATTGCAAATATTTTTTATAGGATCCTAAACGTTTAGAACAATGGCAGCATGTGATTCCTAAGGCTGATAAAGTACTGTCTAGTTATGATTCTGTTTGCGAGCTACACTTTTTAGAAGATGATATTTTAAAATTTTTATTAATGGTACTGTCAACAAAATAAAAAGGGAAAGGCCGAGATTAAAGAACTAAGCAATACCGTGTATATTCCCGAATCTCCCTTCATACTTGTCCAGTATTAGGAAAAGACGAAAACCACCTAATTTAAAAGATCATGATTACAATATTACAAAAACCTCTCCAGTTATTTTGTCTTACGTTTCTGGATATATTGCAAGAAAAGCTACCAGATTTACAAAATGTGAAACTTGCATTCGACAGTTAAAAAGTATTGAGCCTCAGTCTAAAGATCAATTAATTACGTTAATAAGTAAAGCGTTTTTAATATACCCTTCTCATTCTCTAATTTATTTAATATCAATGCTGGAATCGACTACCTTAGAGGTTTTATTAAGAAACCCAGTTCATCAAGAAACTCTTTTTGAAATCTTGAATAAAATTTAAGAAATGGGCATTTTATTTGTAGGGTCTGATAAACACAAAGAAAATATTACATCTGCAATAATTCGCTTTTACCTAATCAGTAGAATGCATTTTATTTGTAAACAAATTAATAAAATTGATGAAGCTAAAAAAGAAAAAAGTAGATGCCTACGAAAGCAATCAAAATTGTAAATATGTATTTGTAATTTAGATTTAGAAATTATGAAAATGAAAAAACCCTAACTCCCCTACGAAATTATTACACACTCATATCCCCAAAGTGACAACAGACTAAAAATTGAAAAAGCTGAGAAAAAAAGAAAGAACAAATGCCTGCACGACCGGATCTTTTCAATTTTTCTTTAATTTCTTTTCACTTTGGGGATATGAGAAAGTAATTTTCATAATTTTGTAAGGGGAATTAGAAATTTTTCATTAATTATGTTATTTAAGCGTTTTGCCACTTTTAAGAACAAATTAAATGCCACCATTGTTAGTTGTCGAATAAAAAATTACCACAAAACTGTACTTACCAAATTTTACCATTTAACAAACCTTTTCAAATTTGGTCATACCTAATTTTCATTTTATTTAGATAATATTAAATAATGAATAGTAAATAATGTTTAACATAAAGACTCATTAATAATTAATACCAACAGTATTTTCTGTACTTTAGTTAGCATTTATAACAAAGACTTATTTACAATAATTAAAATCAACAGTATTTTCTGTGCTTTAGTTAGCAATAAACAATTTGATTTTTATTATTTTCATAAAATTTTGTAAAATCTTTAACTAAATATTTTACTTTAAACCGTGTCTTAGCCCTCAACCCTATTTAGCTTTAATTAAAAAATAATTTGCATTTTACTTAAATAGGAATAAATAGTAAATAATGTATCAATTAAAATATGTTAGACTTATTTAGAAATAAATACAACAGTATGTTTTGTGCTTTGTTTAGCTATTAACAAGTTTATTTTTATTATTTTAACAAAATTATGTATAATTCCCATAAGAAGCCATGTATTTTAAACTACGTAAACAGTACCAGCGCCCATCGGTTAATTATAAAAGCTCAATTGACGTGTGATTTTTGGGACCGTATTTTGAGCATGCTGATTTGCCTCCTTATCTAGTCTTCATAGTATGTACTAATTTATTACTAAAACATGTAGTAAACTTGTGTTTATACAACAGAAATTCAATCTAGCTCGTAAATTTGAAAATAAAAATTTCGAAAACTAGGCAATTTTCAACTTTAATTTCGAAAACTAGTCATAGGATTAAGTTGAGCCTATGCGCTAGTTCATTGTGATGTCGTTTTGGTTCCACAGACATTTAATTCTAACCAAACTTTTAACAAAAACATCAATAAGTTTGACATATACGTTTTTACTGTTTTTATTTTATTTCAAAATATTGTTTACAGGTCATAAAAAATAGTTTAAAGGTATGTGATTGGTAACTAAACGATTGTATATTTGATACATGCTATCTACTTACTTTAGGAATATATTTATAAAAGTGAAAAAAACGATATAATTTAGGTAAACAAAACGAATAAAACGCACTTAAAAAATCTACTGTCACTTTAATTGTCAGTGGAAACATTAGGCATTCCAACGACCTGTCCAAATGGCTACCAGTGGGTACTGACAGTTTAGATATGGCAACCCTGTTTTCATGTTGTCATTAACAGGGTCAATGATACATATATGTTATATACATTGCTCAAAGTTGGTCGTTTGCGAGCAGCCATATTGCCTGGCAAATATTTATTAATTTGAATCAGTTTAGCAAAAATGTGTTTTAAAACCAATTTTCAGACTTTAGATATTTAAAAAATAATAATTGCTTATATTTTTACTTCAAGGCATAAGCTTATGTTTATTTTAAAAAATAGGGATGATCAATCTATGTAACTAACTATTTCACTCACCTTGTCAAATCACCAGGCCTACAGAGTTGCCATAACTTTGCCACATCATAACCTGTCAAAACCCACTGGTAGTCATTCAGTTTGGAATGCCTAATTACATCATCACTAAACTAGCGCATTTACACTTTTGGTTACTAGGTTGAGTACAGTGACATACCAAAATTTCAGAAAATTTGACCGTTTGTCACTTTAAATAAGGAAATACGTGAAATGTCTTAAACCTACATATATGAAATCATCTTTAAAAATGTATAGACAAAAACAATTTGAAGATCAAAATCACAAAGGATTACATGATTACAAGAAAAATAAATTATTTTTAAAATTTTAGCTGAACAAGAATAGGTTATTTTTTTATGTTGTTTTATAGTAATTCAATAAAATTATTATCTAATTACCCTAACCCTAACCCCATAAACTCTTAAATTAACCATCCTCCGATAACGTCACACTAGTAAGGTCAGTTTCTTACGATAAAATTATGAGATAAAAAGGAAGATAATTTCACAGCATTGTACAATTTGATTTTGGTCGTCTGGCAACACTGGTGATGCAGAAGTAGCGTAGAAGAGTGTAGGAACGCTCTCATGAGTTCGAGAGTAGAAACACTAGAAACTTGCAAGCTCGCCCTGTAAAGTATCACTTTCTGAGCTTGGCACGTAAATAACTATTGTTATTCTAGTAATTTTTACCTTATCTTCTAAAGACAAAAGGATTAAACATTGGTTAAAAGGGGTAGTAGAGGGCTGAGGATGTTATTTAAAAATATTAAAAATAAAGTGTGAATATAAACACTAAAATGTAACTTTCAGTAGGTGTACGTCAAAATTTGAAACTTTAACTTTTTACCCCTACAGGAAGCGATAGAGGGCTGAAAATGTGGAATTAGAAATTAAAAAAAAATACGAAAAGTAAGCACAGCTAAACGCAAAATTTGATAGGTATTGTAAACTTAATTTTTATATTTTTTAAAAATATGCCTATTTCGGCCCAGCCTATGTATATTAAGTTGAAAGTAACGATCAATATTACTTAAAAAATTATTTAACAGTGTAAAAAAATATGTTCAATAAAATTATGTCAATTTTATACCACTCATTAATAATTTAATTTCCATTTCAGCTGCAAAATGTAAAAATAAATGGAGGAATATAAGAACGGTTTTTATGAGACACTTAAAGCAAGGGAATGGTAAAAGAAATAAACCTTACTATTTAAGACGCCGGCTTCAATTTCTGATTCCGTTTCTAAAGCCCGCATCGTTCGAAATTAAAGAAGATACACTATCCAATATTTCAAGTGAATTGGATCAGTTAAATTTACCTTCTCCCCTTTCTAGTGAATTTGTGGGAACTGAAATTGAAGACGAAGATTTCGATGAAAGTAATAATGATGATGATGATGAGAATGGAGAGGCGGCTATAAATATGAAACAAGAACCTTCACCTACACTAGAGCTTGAACAGGAAACCAAAAGAAAGATTTGTCACGAAAATTGGGGAGGTGGTGTAAGGAAAAAAAAGAAGCCTTTAGAAATATCCCAAGTTAATGCTTCCAGTAGCAATACGTGCAATTGTCACTCGAATAGAGAAACAGAAGAAGACCCAAAGAAAGCATTTTTAACTAGTCTCCTTCCAGATCTTCGGAGTCTTAATGATAAAGAAATGCGACAATTTAAGAGAAAAACACTTGAAATTATAGATGATATTATTGATAGCAGACCTACGTTGAATGTTTCTAACCATTCAGATACAACAAGTAAATATGAATTTATAACAATTAATACATGAGGGAACCTCATGTAATGAACTCTAATCAAAATTTTCATTTTAAAAATCCATTTAAGCTATTTAGTTTTGTCTTAATTTTTTTAATGAAATTAATAATGTAAAATGTATCATTTGCTTTTATTTTTTATTCTAATATTACCTTAATATAAATAAAAAATAATATTTGTACGTCGTTTACTTTCTTTAAATCCCTGTTGGCTATAAAAGTCAACCATCGCTCACTCTATATAGTAAGGCTGATACTGTCAAAGTTTTTCTTCTCCAGCATCCTGGCAAAAATGTAACGTTGCTACATCGCTGTTTTCCGTATATTTTAAAGCATTTCATTGTTGAATACAAAATTTTAACCAATTAAACCAGTGGTTCCCAAAGTGTGCGCCGCGGTTCCCTGGGGAGCCGTATAGAGTAAATAGGGGAGCCGTGAGGAAACTAAACACTAAACTTAGGTATTCGCTTCGCGGCTACAAAATAAACAATTTAAATCCTGCTGCTTGCGTGGGTCATATAAGCTAATGAGGACTTTTTTTAGAAGCTCGCCGCCAGAAAGACCAGCTTTTTTTTCTGTTTCGTAAATCTCGTAAATCTGGCAACCCTAGTGCGCCTAGACAAAATATTTAACCTGTAAGGGAGCCGCGAACTGAAAAAGTTTGGGAACCTCTGAATTAAACGATAGACATTTATTGCGCTCTAAGACAAAAATCAGCAAAAAAGTATCGAATAGAATAATTGCAATAATAACAAAGAACCAAAAATATTAGATAGCATAGATAAGCTTTGTTTAAAAGTTTGTCTGCAGCTTAACACTTGCTGCACACGACGTTCATTAACGTCATGATAGTTCTTCCCATTCTTTCCACCATTCCTATGACGTTTTGTAACGTCATTTAAAAATGTATGCTGCGATGAATATAGTAAGTACACATGCAGTGAATTGCCTTTATAACCCCGTAGGCATGTGAAAGGGTTCTTAAAATAGTGCATTATGTTTTAGAGTTGGGTATAAAACACATGACTATTTTTTAGTCACTGTAACAAAAAATAAAATATAAATAAACAACATAACCTCAAAAATAATAGTAAATGTTTTGCCTTGGAAATTGAAGACGTATTTCGTTAACAATTATTGAATTGACACACATACTTCTGATTTATTAAAGTTGCAGTTTTATTTAAACACAATTTTTAAATAAACACAATTAAAATTGTTTTATAGGGGTTTTTAGAGTCTGACCACTATTTTTGCGATAAGACAAGTGAACGCACTTTGTGTCGTATTTTGAGCAATTTTATATTTAACACGTTAACGACCGGCTCCTAATTCTGAAATTTTATTCGTGGATCAGGGTAGTTTTTTTATCAAATTTTGGAAAAAGAAAGATTGGTAATATATTTTTTGGAGAAATAAATTGTTTATAGGGAGTTTTCTATCTAAAAACAAAAACATGTGCACCCTATAAAGTTAAGTTTACCACAGACCGTGTGACCTAAATCGAGTCACACCCAAAAACGTTAAATTTGTATTTCATTTCCAAAAATAAATGGTTATTTTTATTACAAATATATTGTAGCATTCTAATTATCAAAAATTTTAAATATTTACAATTATCATGACTTCAAAAAAGCAGCATGTAATTGGAAAAACAACTTACACACATATATGTCGCATTTTCAGAGCATTCAGGACAATAATACGTTTTTTATATGATTAAATTTGTAGATTTAAAGTAAAATATTCAATAAAAGTAAAACTATACAATAGTAAAACTATATAATAGTAAAACTATATAATAGTAAAACTATATAATAGTAAAACTATATAATAGTAAAACTATATAATAGTAAAACTATATAATAGTAAAACTATATAATAGTAAAACTATATAATAGTAAAACCATACAATAGTAAAACTATACAATAATAAAACTATACAATAGTCAAATTATGCAATAATAAATCTATACAATAGTAAAACTATACAATAGTAAACCTATAAAATAGTAAAACTATACAGCAGTAAATCTATACAGTAGTAAACCTATACAGTAGTAAAACAATACAATAGAAAACTATACAATAGTAAAACTATACAATAGTAAAACTATGCAATAGTAAAACTATACAATAGTTAAACTATACAATAGTAAAACTATACAATAGTAGAATCATACAATAGTAAAACTATACAATAGTAAAACTATACAATAGTAAAACTATACAATAGTAAAACTATACAATAGTAAAACTGTACAATAGTAAAACTATACAATAGTAAAAATATACAATAGTAAAACTGTACAATAGTAAAACTATACAATAGTAAAACTATACAATAGTAAAACCAATAGAAATGCTATACAATAATAAACAATTTCTTGATATAGTAAGCCATTAGCAAATAAGCAAATTTTAGTACTATAACTCGGAATAAATCCAAAAAATATCCCAACCCAAGACGACATTTTGTTTCTCAGGGACCAAATCAACACATTTAAATACCATGTATCTGCGTCCCTCGCAGGCCCGCTTTACTTAGAAAATGTCCAACACTTTGAATCTTCCTGTCCGTCGACAAACTTGCTATTGTTATAAAGCCAGCTCTGTACCAGAACACTCTCGGCTTTCCAGAACGATCAAAAACTGCCTCTCTATGACTGATACGCCGCAAAGCGATCACTCCAGCAGCTAGCGCTAGACTTCATACCGCGGGCAAGGAGTAAACAAAGTACAGAGAGGGCTTCGCGTCACAATAATATCCTCACAAAATGCACTAAATATTTTTTTAACAAATAAATTTTAAATCTCACTTAACCTCAAAAATATTTTCGGATAAGTTATAGCCAATGTGATATACAAAAGATAGATACTTACCTTCAATTTCAGAAAGATATTCACTTAAAGTTATTGTTTTAAGCATAAATTATTAATGAAACGTCTATTTTTACATTTCTGCTCTAATAGGTGATTTCTGTTCACGCAAGAACGAACAAATTAACGATGGCCTAGCCCACAGAATACCAGTATTGCATTTATTTATAAAGCATAGTAAATGCAAAAAGGAACTATGGTGCTTCCATCTAGTACCAGCAGAAAAAGACGTGTGTGAAGTTAGCATCTCAAATCTCAGCATCTCATATTTTCTTATGGCCTCCGATATAGTTCTATAGTTCCTCATACTTTTTATCAATAGTTCTTTCGAAATTAGTACCGAACAATGCAATTTAAAAAATGAGATGCTAACTACCGGAAGTTAGCATCCCATTATAACAAATGAAAAGAATTTAAAAAAGCAGACGGTAAATCGATAGTTTACGAATAGTTCTAGAGTTCTTGTTCATTTGAATAGCTAAATTATTTAGTTTATAGCTCTGGCACTCTTAAAATAAATATTATACATATGAATTCTAGAAAATAGTCATATTAGAACAACTTCTTAATTACAATGCATTTAAATAATAACTTAAATCTCTCTGTATTGAGATCCGAAGAGTTCTATCATCTAGCACTTTTTGAAAAATTTTAAGTTTTAATAATAAATAGAAATTATAGACTATAGTGAGATGCTGTCATATTATGACAAGTTCTAGAATATACAATGCTTTTAAATGATAACTTGACTCTCTCTGCATGTAATCCCTAAGAGTTCTAGCCTCTAGAACTGTTTATAATGAGTCATATTGTCGAGTTAAAAAACATAATGCTTTTAAATCATAACTTGACTCTCTCTGCCTTTAGACCCGAAAAGTTCCAGCCTCTAGCACGTTTTCAATAATTTTATGTATACATAACAAACATAAATTATAGACAATAGTGAGATGCTAGCTCACTATGAAGAGTTATAGGATACATCGCACCCCTTTTTCAATAGTGCCATATCCCTAAAAAAAATTAAATTGACTTTTTTTGCCCAACGTATACATTATGAACATGCCTACAATACATAAAAGTGCAATATCAACAGTTCTAATAAATTCCGCGTGAGGCGCCATCAACAGTACCGTCATATCATATAACATTTTTTTGTTTTAGGCTATCTGTGTAGATTTCACATTATATTACATGTATCATTAAGCAGTAGAGACATCTTTAATCAATATGTATACCAAATTTGGTAAGCAAAAGTACTGAAAATGCTGATCAAAAAAATATTCCATCCACAATCGTTTTTTGTTTCGCTTCTTCTGTAAAATTAACATTTATAAGGTTATGGCACTATTGAAACAGGGGTGCGATATATTGCTTCTAAATGATAATTTTGCATTCAGTAATATTGAGTATTAATAATAAACAAACATTATAGACTATAGTGAGATGCTGTCATAATATGACGAGTTCTAGAATATATAATGCTTTTAAATAATAACATAAATCTATTTGTATTGAGACCCAAAGAGTTCTAGCCTCTAATACTTTTTCAATAATATTGAGTAATAATAATAAACAAAAATTATAGGCTATAGTGAGATGCTGTCATAATATGACGAGTTCTAGAATATACAATGCTTCCAAATGATAACTTGGCTTTTTCTGCATTTAGAGCTGAAGAGTTCTAGCCTCTAGCACGTTTTCAATAAGTTTATGTATTATTAATAAAGAGAAATTATAGACTATAGTGAGATGCTGTCATATTATGACAAGTTCTAGGATATATAATGCCTCTAAATGATACCTAGACCACCTTTGCATTGAGACCCAAAGAGTTCTAGCCTCTAGCACTTTTTTAATAATTATACGTAACAATAATAAACAGAAATTATATATCATAGTGAGATGCTGGCACATTATGACGAGTTCTGAAATATATAACGTTTTTAGACTATCTCTTCACACAACTTCACACTATAGTCTATAATTTCTGTTTACTATTATTATTTAAAATTATTCAAAAAGGGCAAGAGTTTAGAACTCTTCGCGACTCCATGAAGAGATAATCTAGTTATCATTTAAAAGCGTAATATGTTTCAGAACTCGTTATTACTGTTTATTATTTATAATTAAAATTATTCAAAAAGTGC